TTATTAGCATCTTCTGAAACTGATCTCCAGTGCTCCTTAGAAAGGTTCGCAACCGAATGTGACGTGACCGCCATAAATGTGAATGCATTTAAAACGGAAAGCCTAGTGCCTTTTCGTTCTCCTGCCCGTTGCTCTCTCAAGATTAACGGAGAGGCAGTGGAGCAGGTGGAGAAGTTCAAGTACCTCGGAAATGCATTTACTAGTGATGGAAAATGAGAGGAAGAGATCGACCGGCAAATTGGAGTAGCCAGTGGCTTTCTGCGTGAACTAGACTGACCCATTGTGACTAAAGCAGAGCTCAGTCTGAACACTAAGCTCTCATTATTCAAGTCGATCTTTATCTCCATGCTTCCTGCGGTCATGAGTAGTGGAGCATGATTGATGCTTCGAAGTCGGGACATGCTGCTGAAATGGGCTTTCTTAGACGAATCGCTGGCCTTAGACGTCTCCACATGGTCCGGAATAGTGACATCCGGAAGAGCCTTGGAATACAACCTTTCCCTCTCCAGATTGAGAAGTCACAGCTGCGATGGCTTGGGCATGTGTTGCGAATGCTTCCAGAAAGGAAGGCTAAGCAACTCTTTCTTGCAAATCCGACCGGCAGAAGGCCCAGGGGACGGCCAAAATTGACTTGGTGCAAATATATCCACGAAGCCTGCTCCATACTCCAATTGTCTTCTGCCGAAGCTCAGACTCTGGCACAGGATCTGGAATGTTAAAAGCACTGTCTGACGTGTCTGCCTTCTCGACTGGAAAGGAGAAACTTTCATGGGAATTGAACAGTAGACTTAAATAGAACTGCTTCTCTTATGTCGTTTATAGATAAAACAATGACGGATACTACGTCAGGGATAGGTTTCTGTTGAATAGAAGATAAATTGTTCATTATGTTTGTTTCGACATTACTAATTACTTATTCTTTGTATAGCTTTATGTAAGTTTGCAATGGCGCTACTCGGTCTATCATGCGAAACTGTTGCTACCTTTTTCACCACGTCTGAATGGCTATCTAGCGAACTGCATTCTGACCATCTAAATGCGGTTCAGGCTATTTGATCCCTAATGTACACATAGACTATAATAATCACGACATAGTCTGCATTCTTGTTAACATTCGTCTTTTCCAATTGCAGTACATCTGCTTCATATGCTAGTTACAGGAGTGTCCAAAACATTGCAAAAATTGACACTGTTGAGAATGAAGTAAGAATGTTCTCTGATTTCGATTTTCCCATTGAAAATAGAATGAAGTTTTGAATTTGTTAGCGACTGAAGAATTGTTCACTGAAAAAGTGCCGCATGTCAAGCAAAAAAATAGGACCTTGGGAATCAGGACATATTGAATAACGCAATATTTGTGATTGGTTTTCAAGCGTTCAGTTCAGCCCTCTTTCGAAAAAAAAAATACTCAGCGGATTAATGTTTTTGAGAATCGAATGGCCTTTATTGATTCTTAAGCGGAACTTATACTTGAGTGTATGAAGAAGTTCGCAGTCAATCAATGTTTATGGTGTCCGTAAAACATCCTCTTGATGGAATTGCACGCAAACAAGAAGAACTAAGGCTGTAAAGAGGGAAAGCAAATTTTCAGCTTTTGTAAATATAGAATCCTGAACCAGTGGAACATGGATATGTGTTATTCATGTTGACATATTTTCAAAGCGTACTTTTCGACATGAGAATTTTAAATGAGTTGCACCTTCAAGGGTTTCTGGCAAAACGCCCAGATATTTTCTAACTGTGGATCAGAACATGACCAATTAATTAGTCAGTAACAAAACTAATAGTGAATATAAGGTATCATGGTACGCTACGCAGAAAAATTCTTGACCATTCTTCCTGTTGGCTTCTTTTACATACACTAGCAGGATGCATATACCAGGGAAGGTAACTGTAAAACCATTTAGACTTTAGTCATTCTGCTCGTAAAGCCTCGGACTTACAGTATAGAAATCCTGGTTTCCAGTCTTTTTCAAAACACCCGTCTTTCGTCTTGCCGAGTTAGATATAAGAGCATGTGATTGTGAGCAAGGAAATGGGAAGTTATATGACATACTTGCCACAAATCTGTATACATCGGTTTTAAAGGCAACTCTTACATAGAAACGAGACCACCTTGTACCAGAAACTCTTTAAAAATGTGCCGCGCGGAGTACCCATCGTGGAATCGTAGGGATTATAATCAAGTCGTTACAAACTTATTTCTTCATTTTCCTCCAAGCGAAGCAAACCAATGTCTGTGGTCATCAGAATATCTAATTATTCCGTCATCGTTGTTGATCTCAGAGCGGTGGGGTCTACTCTC